CTTTATTTATTTTTTCGTGTCGTGAAGATAAATCTTTTCAGTTTTTCGGGCGAAAAGATTCCATGAATTTGCTTGCTTAGTCTCCGGGGAGTCAGACTCTTTGTTTTCAGTTTTATCAGTATCTTTGTTTTGGAGACAATGATAACGCATTAACCTTTACAGTTGATTTGAAATGATTCTATCTCAACGATATAAACTATTGGAAAAACCTTTGGCTTCTAAAGCTATGCCACATAAATCTAGGGCATATAAGACGATTTTACGAGAAAATTCTGATCAAATTTTTAAAAACAGCACGAGTCTTTCGCTTAAAATGGAACGAGCTTTTTGCTCTGTCCTCTCGAATTTCAGATTATCTCACAGTGCCACCTTAAAAATGTCTTCTCCCTCTTTATCGAAGTGGTGAGGTGTTGTGACAAAACGTGTGTGTACTGAGACGGCGAGCGATCAAGGAAAGAAAATGCCTCCCGCCCGAGTTTTTACAATGCTGTTACGAGGTTTAATTGCCAAATATAATAGCTCCGAATTGGACTTAATAATCGATCGCTCAGCGTCTACAATCCTACTTACAAGTCGTCTGTAATGTTTGTGGGCTAGTCTTAAAAATGCTGGCTGTCATCAAATGTTTTGAAAGATTCGTGCCAATGATCCAATTTCTTTTTTTTCGGTGAAAACTCAACAAAAAGAAACGATCTGAATAAATCAAGCCAAACTATTAAAGATCCCGTTGGAATTTTGATCCTTTTACAGCCAGCATTTTTATTAAGTTGTTATAAAGAGATCAAAGTTCTTATCTTTGGCGACCAATGATTTCATTCTTCGCTGATTCCAGTTTCCCCTCCTGACCATATTGTCTTGTTCATCCTTTCTCTTCGCAAGGGTAACTTTCCTACAAATGGAGAAGAAAAATCTAAAGATCAGTAATTGAATATATTTCAAAGCCCAACCAAGAGTAAACATTAGGATTACATTCTGTATAACAAGCGTTCTTTCAGTGACGCCCTTTGGTTCACGCTGCGTAACGAAGACTGGACTCAAACGAATATTGTCTCAATAGCCAGAGTTTATAATTCTACTCTTGGCAGTGTAGCAATTGCTATGGTAAGTTTTAAAACAATAAGTGATGTTGTTAAGGAACGTAAAAGAATTGCAGTGTAATACAATTTATGGAATCTGACTAAGAAAGTTGGTGCCACGTGTTCGTTTTTACGTTGCGAACTGAGTTTAGAATATTTTGCTACTACGTTTTTCGACACAAGTGTAACATTCAATGGAGATTATTTTGCCTAACAAGTGTATTCTCAAGGCTAAGCTTCTGAAGTTAATTTTGTTTGACAATCAACCGGCAAAAGCTTGGAATGAACACACATTAATTCTAAATCGACCCAATCTTTGCATTATTCCCGTTAGGTAAAACCTTACAGCGTTCTGAACAAAATAAAGGCCACATTTATCTTAAACGATGCTTACCTTCAGTATTAGCTCATAGCTTCAAGTTTCAGTCCATAAATTCATCTTCTCGTCAAAGAGTACATCCAACTCTTCAGCAGCAGGAGCACTTGTCCTCACACATGGACGACTAGCATGGTTTGGTGTGACTTTTTGAATTTGCATACTTGTGGTTCAGCAGCAACAGCCAATCACTGAAATTTACGTCACATAATTTATTCCCGCGCCTTTAGAGGTAGTCAATTACAAGTTTTTACTTGAAGAATGGTGTTGGGCCTGGAATAAAATAGTCCCTGTGTGTGATTATTTTATGGGAGAGATACGGCCGCGTAAATGTCAATGACTTCAACAAAATAAAACAGAAAGGAATATATACAAAAAGAGTGTAAAGTAAAAAAGCAAATATTAAACCTCGTGCAGTCAAAGGTGATTTCAGTTGCAACATATTGAGGATAGAAAAACAATTAAAAAAAAAAAGAAAAAAGTAGCTTGCTTAATCTCCTTGGACTCGAACTCAGGATCTTAATGCTGAGAGGTACATGTCTATCCAATCAAGCCACAAAGACATTTACTGGTGTATTAGCTTTACTTTTAGAATACATAGTGTAAAGTTTTCTGACATTTTGACTTCCTTTTGTGTTTGTAGACCTGACTAAAGATCAGTTTGGAATGAGGATATTCTGTAATCGATTTTTTTTCCCCACAAATTCGACGCAGTTGGGATGATATTCTTTGCTGACATGGTGCCGATATGTTAGGAGAACGAACACAAAGAAGTCATGAATGGCAGACACTTGTATCGAAACTTTCTTTATTTATATTCTAGGCATGGTTGCAGCATGAATATACAGCTGAATGAACCAAAAATAAAAAGAATAGTTCTAGATATCAACCGATTTGTCACCAGAGGACATATAATGAAACAAGAAATTTCAGCAAAGGTAGCTTAAAAAAAAAAGAAAAAAGAAAAAAGGAGGAGGAAACAGGCAATTGAACACCGAACGGTTGCCACCAAGTTATCCCCCCCGGCTCAATGGCAGCGTTATTCCACGTGAGCCACGTAGACCTACTCGAATACTAGCGATCAATTTTAATCATCAACCTTAAAGTTGTCTCAATGTGAATTTACCCGCAGGAGTGTAGGCGTGAGATGTTATGGTTATGTTGATGTTATGTTGAATCAATGTTTCTGAACATTTTCTAATTTTCAACTGTCATTTAAAGGGACAGATCTTCCAGTGAGATCTTATTTAATTGTTAACGAACCCTAACAGCACGCAGGGGGAAAGTTTACTATTTCTAACAAATAACGACACGTAACTTTTTAAGATGGTGTATTGAGTAACAATAGTTCTATGGATGAATTGAGGCAGAGTGAAACAAAGTTGCACTGCAGATAGACTTCTTTGTGTGACAGGTGAGGCACTTTGGGCTGAGTTTGATCTCAAGATCTTTGCACTTCTGTTGCGATACTTTGCAAATAAAGCTGAGTATTGCCGAGAGTTTTTGAGTAAAAATTTCAAATTTTAAATCAAGTTATCTGATAAAGTTTTATCCTTAAAAAATTATTAAAAGTAGTTGCTATCGAGAATCTCTCGTCTGTTTGCTTTTTTCCGAATAATTGTTCCTCACAAATACGCGTTAATCGAAAACGGTTACATTGTGTTTACACACTGTCACTTCAACACACCAATCGATCGATTAGAACATGCTTTGTTTCTTAAATATGTTATGATCTGGTTGTAATACATTTGGTTTCAATGTGAGTAAAACAGTATAAACGGGTCATTAGAAGATAAAATAAAAGAGGAAATTTTCATTTACGGGTAGAAAATTTGTACTACTAGAAGTAACTTTTGCCAAGTATATATATATATACATACATATATATATATATATATAAAACAAAAAAATAAGTAAAAAATACAAACGTGTGCCCTCTTGAATTTGAACTCCAGACTACCGTGGTTTGAGTGCTCATAGTCAATCAGTTGTGCCACGAAGACTCACACTAATCTCGTAAATGTTTGTTAACAGGTGAACATTTTTGAATTTCTGTTCTTAAAGAAAAGTGGGAACAAATTTCCAGGTACGGGATACAAAAGCGTGGTGTTCGTCTGTGGATGCGAGGACTGTATCTAGATGATGATGATGTGAAGGTGATGAAATGGTCTGTTTAAATTTAGTCAATCTCAGTGACAGACCTGTTTTCCTCACATCGTGCAAAATAATCATTCTGGAAGGCCTCTGTTAAGCACCTGCAGTAGAGCCTTTCTAAAAACTCGCCGACTTGTTCGAAGGGCCGATATAAGATCTACGGAGAAAGGCCACATTGTAATATTTGACCAGAAAATACGGGTGAAGGAACAATTTTGCAGCGTTAACGAAAACGTAAAATTTCAAGGCTCCTTTTATAATGTGTGCAAAGATTGTCAGCGATTTTTCACCTCAAGTCTAACGAAGAGGAAATATATGCAACACCTGATGTCGCAGGTCAGCCATTTTGAGCCGTCTCACGACGCGATTGTCTTTTTTGTTTAGATTTCATGACCTTTTAATCTTTTCTGTCCCAAGAATAAAATCCATCCCTTCTCCGCCGCCATTAACCAGATACTGTTTATAATACTAGCCCTGATAGTTTGGTGTCGTACCGAACCGAAAGTTCTCAGTTAATATTTTTATCCTCTTGTCACCCTTCTGCAAGACATTGTATTGGTATTCAGAGTAAGGAGAAGTAACATATCTGTTGTTTATGGGAGTTAAAGGATTTGATACCATCTTTGCTACATTAAGTAGATTGCTCTCTCTCGATTGCTTTGCGCGACAGTTGAGTAAACGCGATAGAAGTCTTGAGTTCATAATCTAATTGTTAAGTAGTGTTTTCATTACAATTCATAGCGTTTGAGTAAGTAAGATGCAAGCCTGTATTCCGTCATTTCGTTTCAACTGGTTTTGTTGCGAGTCAGATCTAGGCAGATATTTAAAGGAAAAACAAAGAATCACATTTTGTTCCCCAGTAGCTTTTCAGTTTCATATAAGCCTTTCTATCATTTAATTCCCCCAAACAAACAAAATGCAGTATGAGTTCAATCATTAAGAGTTTTTCCGCCTGCTGCATTCTTTTAGAGAACGAGGGAGAAGACATCTACTCCAATCGTTTGGTTTGGATACAAGACTGAAGAGAGGTATCAAATAACTTCTCTCGTTGAAAACATAACTTTTGGAGAATTAACATGTAATAAAAAAGAGTTGAGAAGTTTGCAGGAACAGGGATGTCAGTGGAACCATATGCAGCAAGAGGAAAAAGGCAAGCCTTAAGAAAAGGCAGAGGAAGTTTTAACGAATGAAAATTAGGTTTGGTTTCTTAGCACTTGTGGCTAGCAATGCTCATACTTATGGATACAAACTGAAATAGCCTTTCCTTTTCTAGATCTGCCGCTGTAAGTCAAGAAATTGGAAAGCAAAGAAGCACTCTACACAGATTCTTTTCATTCCATTTATTGAATAACAACTACATCGCCGGTTTTTCAATCAGATAATTAGAAGCAAATTCAACTTTTCACAGACTCGGTGACAGTGATCTGTCCCATGTGACGTCGGTTGGAGAAGTTGTTATTACGCGTGCCCATGTAACAGTAGTTCCCAGGCTTCGTAATGCGGAAGCACGGAGGGTTGCAGGAGGCTGGGGCGTTGTTTAGCTGAGCTTGCAAGTTGGCCTGTTCGTAACAGCCCTTGTTCAGGTGAAGATTTAACTTATCGGCGTCAAACTTGTCAATATGGTCAACTACTTCAAGAGGCAGACTGGAACACGCTTCTGGTTTGAGGGATTGGCATCCTTCTTTCATCCAGCACACGTTGGTGCGATCAGTACCTACAAATAAAAGAGAAAATTTATGCGACAAAATTATTGAAGACGTTTTATTAAACGGTTTCAAAGTACTCTACATTTTGTTTTGAAAGGGTTGTAAACTTCAATGGTCCCTTGACTTGTAAAAATAAAGGTCAAGAAGTACAGTCTTTCCACAGGTTTTAGTTAAAAAGTCAAAATTACAGTGTTAGTCAAGTCAAATTTGGTTAGAAGCTTTAAGCTGAATAATTTAAAAAGTCGTGCATTCATCATCCTGTTTTTTAAGTTCAAAACATTAATATATAGATGTAGCAATTCTTACGCGCTGTTCCTTGTCCTTCATTGTTTTGGTTGTTGTTTGAACCTAAAACAGAGAAAAAAATAGCACGTTAGTTTAAGAATTTTCTTGGTTTGCTGATCTAAATTTGGCTAATGGCTATTTAAATCTCAATACTGTAATGAATTCATGAAGCTCAGTATTATTAGAATATTTAGAAGGGTGGAAAACAACGCCTCGTAAAAAGAAGACTGTAAAATGATATAACAAAGGTTACACGGAGTTTATCCTTTTTGAATGGAGCGCCTTTTGAAGAAAAATACAACAGATAACTTGGGTGGTAGAGTCTTTATTCTTACACAACAGACAAGATATTCCAATCTGCGTTTGTTCGGTGTTAGAGGACCAAATCAAAATTAGTTTACAGCCAAAACAATGCCTGAAACCGTCAAAAAAATCATCATTGGAAATTTTCCGACACGTGCTCTAACTTAAGCCACTCCGACCGTTGTGACGAAGTTTTGAATTTCAGTGTTTTCCTTAATTAGACGAAGACAATCACTTCAAGTTCTTTCTTTCCTCATTAGCCTCTGTGCCATTCAATTCTAAATCGACCTTCCCGAAAACAAGAGTGTCTCTCACTTACCTGACCAAACGAAACACACAATGTCCTCTGTTGTTACCGTAATACGTTCAGGAGTAAAGCGATATTCCATGGCAGGGTAAGCCTGCACGATGTTCCCTCTCTTTCCCATTCCTCCGATGTAGTAAATTTGGCGATGCTGATGTTCCTTTGGAAGAGAACTTCGAGGCTTCAGGAGGATCACGTGACTTCTATCCTGGAAAGTTCGCGAAAGCTGCGCGGTGTTCAAGGCGAGTTGTAAAAGAGTTTTTCCATCAACGGCTTTTGTCTTTGGGTTATTTGTAACGCTGTAGAGTTCAGGATAGACGTGTTTTGTTAGAAGATGGGGCGCAGTTCGTGTTCATCACCTCAAAGAAAGGGGAAAAGTGGGCAAGTTCAATTAGGAGTAAGGAAACTTACTTCTTGTTATTGCTAGCATCGAACTCCCTTGGTGCGTCAGCGGTGGTGATGTTGTACCTGTAAGAAACAAGACTTCATTCTTAAGCATATCCCGTAAAACAGCCCTGAAAGCCCTAAGCTGAGAGCTTCGAGGACTACAATAGTAGATGGACAAAGGCCATGTGCTGAATATTAGTTAAACGCGAGTCGTTTGAAAGGACTTGCGACAAACGTCGGACATAGATAAATGCAGACACCTAGTAAGATGAGAAAACCCTAGCCAGTTCTATTTTCGCAGTTAGAACCGCTGTTAAGGTTCATGCAGGCCAGAGACGACTAGTGGAGGAGCAATGTCATATACAACCTTTTTGGATCAGAATTTTACACAGACCTAAGATCAGGAAGATCGAGAGTATCCCTTGCTGTTTGAACTCAATTTGACACTCTTCACTTTAAAAAAAGCATTTCTTTATTTTACTTATCGTTATAGCAAGCACTATGGTGTCAAAATCGGTCGCATTTTTTTTTAGAGTATTCTTACACTGAAAAGTATTTCTGGTATTAGTATAGAAATGATGTACTGAGTATTATTTCGTCAGTAATAAAAGAATAACGTTTCAAAATAATTTTCCCTAACCTTATGCGCAGCACACAACGTTGAGTGGTATTTGTTGCGAAACAAGGTACTTTCCACTTATAAGACGAAAACTTTCCTTCCATGTTCAACCCGTTGTGATTAACGACGGTGGATGGGGCGTAGATCACATCAGGAGTCTTGTGAAGGAGAACAAATTGTTCCTTTCCATCCGCTCCTTGTGAAAGCTTGTGTGGTTCATACGGTAACCCTCTGCTCAGTTTCATGTCTCCTATGTTATGACAAGTGCTCAACACGCCAGAGGTTTTCTCGATGTAGTTTGTGATAAATTTGGTCCACTTCCCTCCAGCTTTTTCGCAAGCATCCTCAGTGATGTACTTGGCAACACATTGCTTGGCGAGGTTGTTAGAGTTGTCTCGTGGACAGTTAGGGTTATCTTTCAGTGTTGTTGGCATAATACACATATCTGAAATATCGATGAATTAAAAATTCAGTGCAAAACTCGAGATAGTTTGGTTGGTGAAATTAGCTCACCTTCTTACTTTTCTGGAGGAGTCTAAAGAGAGCCGAGAGAACAGCCTAAGTTTCTTAGAGATGCTGTCGTCTCAATTAGAGCAGTAATCAGATAGTATACTTACATTTTTGTCCATATTCAGGACTGTTCACGTATTTTTTCATGAGCTCCTCGGTCTTTTTATCGCTGACCATGATAGCAATGTCCTTCCAAGGGCTGGGACCCCAGTAGGGAAAATAATCGCGTTCCTCGGGGACCTCCAAGCCCCTTCTTGTTCCTTGAGGGTTTTGTCTCGTGTAAATCGGCAGAACGCCCTTAAGTTGTTGGTCAGCAGTGAACAAACCTGCAGTAGGAGCAAAAAACAGCCTTAATTTTCTTTGATTTACAATTGTAGCGTTTAATTCACTCCATCACTTATTTTCCATAAAACAGAGGAAATCCTCATAAAAGTAGTTTGATTGAGTAGGAAAACATTCGGATCTTGAGAAATCTCATTGTTTTAAAGATAGATTTGTTTTGTGAATGCTGTTTTACATTTGGCTGCAAGTCTATAAAGTGGCAACTACTGCAAGAAATCAAAACTACGCCTGGACTGACTTCGAAAAAAAAGAAACAGTCAAACAATGTGGATTTTCGTTGCCAGTTGAAACACCATATGCAACTTTAGAGTTTTAGACATGAAGAATTTCATGAGAGAAAGCCGTATAAAACTTCACTCATTTACTTTTTAGGATCAAGATAGAACGAACCAAATACGTTCAATTCTCGCATTTCTCCTGCTCACCTTTGTTTCTCTCTCGGCGGAAGTAAGCCTGGTAGTAATTGGCTGGTTCGTGCAAGCCGCGGTCTTTTCTTATGTAAGCGTTCTCTCTATTATTATTTGAAAATGACTGAGTAGCCAGGTTTTGGCCGTTACGAATCGTATGGTATTTAAACTCTCTGTTCACATCGTTGGTTGCCATCTTTCCCTCGGGATAAGGCTGACACATGTACTGTAAAATAGCTTGTGATTCCACTATGTCGCCAGTCTTGGGCCCAGTCCCATGCTGATTTGTCCACATGATTTCTACTTCAGTTTTGGCCTTGGCGTCACATCCGCTCATGTAAAACTCCTGTTAAATTGTTAAAGATAAAATTGAACAAACACATAAAAACAAATGAACACAACACGAAGAAATGCAATTTCATAGTGCAGTGGTCTCCCCACGTGGGAGCTATTCGTTTATCATGTCCAAAACAAAAGAGAATTTTGAGTATTGTTTAATAATTCTAAGTCGCTGTTTCCGTAAATGGTTCGATTAGGGTTTAGTCCATGGTATGAAACACGTTCGATAAATATTCGCAAAAATTGGAAAAGAGTAAAACATTGAAATGAAATTTTGACTAAAACAAGGAACTAAATTGGGAACAGAAAACCACGAGATATTGTTCTCAAACTCGCAAGAGGTCCAATAGGAACACAACCTTACTCATTTTGATTCGTTTGTTTTGTTCTTTCTCTATATATCATCTTCCCAAAACAAATTGAGCCCGTAAGCATAATTCGTTCTTATACTGCATAGTCGAGATAAAAAGGTATCTTTCCCCTTTCTTGATGGGGCGCAGCTGAAGGTGTCCGAAGGAAATACATAACCCTGCTTCATCAACAAAACTGATAATATATAGTAGCTAGAGAAAATGAGGGTGAAATTGGAAAACCCTCAAACGCTGCTACGAACCTACAGGAGAGGATTAAAAATACTGTCAAAGAAACTTACCACAGCCCTACCCCTCGAATTGCGCAAATACAGGAGTAGATATCTTATTACTAATTACCTGTGGCAGCTGTCTAAACTCTTGAATGTTGTCTCCAGGGTTACTAGCAAGTTTGTCCCCAACATTGTAACCAGCCTTACCGTTATTCTGAAAAAGTCATTTTCTAGGTATTATATTTTGTTAAATTAAGCTTCTGTTTCATGCGACCGAAGCTTACATAACTACGTACAATGCAGCATCTTGATAGGAAGGTAATCTCCAAGAACGGGAGGAGACATAGAAAACGTTTTCGTTGTTCGTTCGCTTGGTATGAAATACGACGTTGACCATTTGAGCATGCAAGTTTCCATATCACTATAATATTAAAAAACAATCATGGGCTTAAATAGAATCTACTTGGTTCTTGAAGAGGAAAAGCCAACGAATAGTATACGAATACATAAGCGCAAAGAGATTTAATCATTAGGGTCTTACCTGTGAGTCAAACAATCGGTTTGCGTTCCTTACATTGTCTTGATTTCCGTTCAAGCGATTGTTCGATCCGTGTGGAAAATGCAGGTACATGTCCGACGACGAAGGCTCCACGAGTGTTGCCAGGATGAAACCACACACAAAAATGATCCGCGTGTTCTGTTCCGTTGAAAAAGAGAAGAAACGATTGGGAACTTACGAGCAAACTCGACAAAACGTTTAGAGGCAAGGTAGAAAATTGCCTCTGTTTTAACTATTTCAAGTCGAAGATTAATATTCAAAATTTTATACTGTTGAGAAGCGGTGCAAAATTGAACCTCACAGCAGGCTTAAACTGAAAGCTGTATAGAAAGTAACGCTACCTGCAACATCCCGTTCTTTGTTAATGAGAACGTCCTCAGCTACTTTTAGAAGTTCAAGTTTATGACGACAAATTATGTACCACACACACACAAGAGCATGAATCACCCCTGTTCTCTTCATTGCTTCTCCTGCAGGAGCTTTTATACCATTGCTTCATCAAATACAACCACACTGAACAAATTCCGAGGGGAGAAGTGCTATCAATCTTATTTTGCAATCTACTGTTAGTTGTCAACCGAACCACAAAAGGGCGGGTGTAATTTTTTTGGGCTGTTGAGGGACACTGAGATTACAAAATGGTTAATTTGTAGCGAAACAATTATGATAATTGCTAGGCGAGAATGAAAAGAATTATTTTCAAAGACGAGCTAAAAGAAACGGTGCAATGTATCCTGAGCTTGATCAACCAATCAGAGCGAGTAAACTGACAATTCCTGGGTTTAGTGTACACAAATATCAAACGCCTAAATAAACTATAAAGAAACAACCTTTATTGTAACACAATATGGTGAACTAGTTTAAAAACAGTGTTAATTACGTGCCTTTTTGTAAGTGAGAGTTACTCAATGCAAGTTTGTAAGGATATCATTCCTAAAATACATCTGCCCGCTGGGCAAACACCAGGAGAAAAGGTATAACAATATAAAAATTATGTGGGTGGGATTTACTTCGATTTGATTGAGCGTGTTAAGAACGACAGTGCCAAAAGGTCAGAAAATGCGTTAGAGTTTCACTCTGCAAACACTTTTCATTCCAACCGCGATTATTGACACTTGTGCAGGGTCCTTTCATGAAAAAAAATTCTCGTGATTATTGAATTCAAATAGAAGTTTTACCATTCGCAGAGAGACACTGTCAACCATATATTTTTGAGAAAATATGCCTCGTAAGTGTAGTTCAGAAGGAGATAAGATAAAATAGGCTGATACAGCGTTTAAATGCACAACGGCCTTCTAACGATGGAGCAAATAATTTCCAAAGGTTAAAAATTTAAAGCCAAATCCAACATTCAATTCTCGTCCTAGTTATTGTTTCATAATGTATTAATTTTACAGCCTAGCTATCATTTTAAGGTTTTTTTTTAATCCTTGTAATCGTTTCAAATTGTATCTGCTATATTAAGTTTATTATTAGCTTTGAGGATAGAGGACCACTCGCTTATCAGTTGAAATACAGTGAAGTGTCGCTGTATTTAAATAAAGTCGATGATATTACAAGTGGCTTTTTGTAACGCTGTGACTAATGATAAAACAAAAAGAAAAACTATTTTAACATTTGTGGTTCTATCCGATCGGGTTTTGGGCTAAGGGCCTTGCAGCGAACTCTTAGGCCGGCACTAAACACTGATTTGGGGGCTGTCCTGGCGTACCGGTACACGAGGACACAACCCTGATTTGTGACCAATTTGATCATTGAAAAATTTTTAAAAACTATCCTATTACTGATTGAAGCCTGTGGAACGTCAAGCAAACATCGAGTCAAGTTAATTATTTTCAGTACCATTTAATTCATAATACAAGAGACTTTTTAATGCGTAATGAAAATATCTTTGTTTTATAGATCGCAATGAAATTCTAAGTAAGACTCTCGTTTTATTATTCGCAAGCTCCATTTACAGTTGGTCGCCGCCTGTATCATTCGATATTTCAAAAATCCTGCGGTTGAAAACTTTTTTTCTTACACTGAACAGTTACAACTGTAAGCAATTGCACCCAACAAAAACTTGGCGTGTGAAGATTGCACTTTGAATAAGGTATGCTGTATTTGCACAAAGTTCTATTCGGTAGGATGTGCGAATGTTTAAACAGTTGGAGATATTTGCTTATTCATCGTAAGATTTTTTGTTGGTAAAAGTTCCAATGAAGGATTACCTCTGCAAAGTTTATAAGTTGTTGCTGCTACCTTTTCGAAAACGATACTAACTTATCTCGTACTCTGCTTACTCGTATGCATGGCTCATTCCATACCCATAGCTTCCTTAAACATAATACAACTATTTCTGCTGTTAGTTTTGATACTTAGAGTCTGATTCATTATAGGGCAACCAACGTCCCATGTGCGGATATCTTTACAAGTCTCTAAAAACAATTCGTTTATCGTTAAAGAGTTTTAGCGTTGAACTTATCAATAGATCGATGATCTCCCTCTTATAAAGATACATAAACTAGACATGTATTAGCCATTTCCGCGTCACTCAGAGTCTCTATGTGAATGGATTAAAACATTTTGCTCTTCAGCATTCAAATGTGCTTAATATCTGAATGATCTTGGGAAAAACACCAGTCTCTTAACCCTTTAACTCCGAGAAGTGATTAACATGTAACTTCTCTCATGCGATCAATAAAATCCTTGCATTATCCAGCAAACAAATGACGGGAACATTCAAACTTATCAGGTTGATATTGTTATCCTGATCTAACACCAAATTCTCGTGATTAATTTATAAGGAAATGTTTAGTAACTAGAGGGGAGAAATAGCAATCAGATCTTGGGAGTTGAAGGATTAAACAAGTTGTTCAGTCATTATAAGTTCCATCATCAAGAAGACACGATGAAGAGAATTCGGGTGGAGGAAGTGCGGAGTCATCTTCATCAACCGCCCTTAAGTGGACCTCCATGGTAGAACTTCTCACTACATGCGATCGCCGGCCAAGAAGAACAATCATTGATATCACCATGCCACAGAAAAGAACCACATTCACCGCTACGACCATCCAAACGATGGGCGTGGATGAGTCAGGGTTTTGGGCTGCGTACCTTACGTTCATGAAAGAGAAATGAAGAGTCAAAAGAACCAAAGCCTCTGCTGTGTTTTCCAACGGGAACTTTTGGTAAGAATCAATATATGGTTTGAAGAGCAACTGAAAGCAAAGGGCAACCAGCAAAACAAAGCAAACAGCTATCGTCTGAAAGGACGATGAACGAGTGATGAGGGACAACGCGAAAGCGATCAGCATCCGCCTTAGAAGAAAGATGATCTCAAACGAGGAACGAAAATCTTTCTTGTATGGCAAGTAGATAGAACCGAGCCAACTGTCCAAACTTTCTTGGTCTTGCTGAGGCAGCTCATGTCTGCTGCCCACCTTGTTGTGTCGCAGAAGAGGAAGGAACACTCCAAAAGGCACACCGATCACATAAAAAACTAACGAAAGCCAGCCAAGGACCTGTAGCATGGTGTGGACAGGACCTCCACACTCTATCCATGGTGCCTCCCTCAGGTAATAATAATTGTTGTCCTTTGCGCACGGAGCCAAGACTAAAGCGGTTTTCTTTACAATGGGAAAATATGTCAAATTGAGAGACACAATGGAAAGTTGTAAACAGGTATTTCGCAGTCGAAGTCGTCTTTCTTGCAAATTGTAAACGTTAAGAACACCACCAACGAGGCAGACAAGAGCAAAGTACAACCAAATGCACAGAATGCAAATAACAGGAAGTAGAATTAGAATTGCAAATTCACCAAGTGGAGTGAACAAGTGAGGAAACGTACAAACCAGGCCAGAGAAATGAAAGTTAAACACATAGCTGATGTATCGCTGAATTTTAAGAACCTGAGGAGGCCAGAAGTTGTTACAGGAGATCAAAGCGTCCAGGGTTTGCAAATAATACACACTGATCTTCAGAATTCCTCGCGCAGCCTTACCTCTTTCGGCTAAACCTATAAAGAGGGCTATTGCATTGAGTTCAAGTAGCCATGCAGGAATTATGTGAAAAATGGCAAGTAATGCTAAGATAATTATTTGAGTAAAAACTAAAACTGTGGAGAAAAAGCGCTTTTTCTCGTAAAGGTAGAAGGCAAGAGTCATCAAAATGATAGTCAGGATAGCAAGTGCAGCCGGAATGTAAACACTGGTATTCGCTTGGGGACAAGCGTAGCAAATGATTCCTTGTTTGTAATAACCATGTTCGCAAAGTGAACAAAAGCGACCTTTACTCCCTGTGCGGCAGAAGCACGATTTGTTGCAAACGGTGGAGGGACTGTGGTCTGTGTCAATCCAGCAGCGACAAGTGCCTAATGGATTGCAGGGTGTACTCACTTGAGGATTGGTGCCTAAAGCTTGTGAACAGTCAACGAGATGAGTCACGTTCTGATCACGTGATGAAGGCCAATAGCCTTTTTTGATTGTCATATCCTGGGAAGGACGTTTCTCAACATTACAAGTTCCACCTTCCATGCAGGGTAGACAGGTTTTCCCGAAGCCATAATATCCTCTATCGCAGAAACAAAGACGGTAAAAATAATAGCTGGGGTCTAAAATCACCCGTGTGTTGTTGTTAAGACGGGCATTTGGACATTTGAACTTGTCAAAAAGGATTAAAGATGCAAAATCAGCTGTCATATACTTTGGTAGGATTTCATGTTCTTCGTTCATACGCATTGAAGGATTCTTTGAAACGTCTAGGACTTTCAAGGAGGGTAAGTCTGCATAATTTCCAGGGATTTGCCCGGAAAGTTTATTCCTGGATACATCAAGATCGTGAAGGAAATACAAGATTTGAAAAGCCCACGGAAGCGTTCCTGTTAGATTGTTCTTCCTTAAATCCACAGAAATCAAATTCTCAAATTTCCATAATTTAGATGTAATAATACCATAAAAATTACACTCACTAATGTTAAGAATACGAAGAGATTTTCTTGTCGATTCCATTGCATCCAGCAAGGAATCAAAACTGTGTGTGAGATTCTTATTGCCAGCAAGGAGGAGTACCTCTAGATCATTAAACTTGATCCCGTCCTCAAACGATGATAGATTATTTCCACTTAAGTCAATAATATGAGGAGAGGAAACTGAGCCGATACTTTCCGGTATTTTTCCAGAAAAACTGTTTCTAGCCAAATTTAAATATTGGAGGTGGGTCATATTACCCAGAGTTGCCGGAATGCTTCCAGTAAAACGATTTCCTGACAGGATACACTCAACCATGGCAGGATAATACAGTCCAAATTCGTCAGGCAAAGTTCCATTTAATCCAGCCATTGACAGGTGCATGTATTGTAAAGATGACAGATTGACAAGGTTTGCAAAGCCTCCACTTAGGGATGTTGCACTTTTAAGATCCAAAAACCAAAGTTTTTTCAATTTCGAAATACTCTTCGGTATTGAACCTTTCAATCTGCT